TATCTATAAAACGTTAGTCTGGAATTTTTAATAGGATTTGAGTTAAACGTATATATCATCTTAGAGAAAACTGATGTCTTTACTATATTGAGTCTTCCAATCCATGACCACAGTATGTCTTTCCATTTATTTAGATCTCCTATGATTTCTTTCATCTACATTGTATATTTTTCAATATACAGGTCCAATACATGCTTTGTTAGATTAACAACTAAGCATTTCTCTTTTATTGAGCAATTATAAATGACACTGTATTTTAAATTTCAGTTTCCCTGTGTTCATTGCTAATATATAGAAGTACAGTTGATTTTTGTATGTTTATCTTGTTTCTTGCAACCTTGCTGAACTCACTTAGTAGTTCTTTGTGTTTTACCTTTTATTTCTAGCCCCAATTATTTAACATTTTCTGTGTGCCAGGCATTATGCTAAGGCTTTCCTTATGCTTGTCCAAGCCAGTAAGTGATGGAGCTAGGATTCTAATACTTAAATCGTTTATTCACTTCATTTGTTCACTTCACAAATACTTAAGGAGAGTTTATATGGACCACAGCAGATCCAGACATTGGGTCCTAACCTCCTGGAGGCTGCAGTCTCAAACTAGCATTAGAAGTAATACAAGTGGTTATATAGCTATAAGCTCAAAACTAAAACAAAAAGTGAATTAATTACAATGTAATGCATTTAGCTCATTCTATAAGTGAGTGAGGTAAGGGTACCTTAACCAGTCTGGGAGGTGGGAGAGGTGAGGGTGTCCAGGGAGGGCTTCCTAAAGAAAAACAGGAAAAATTTCCCAAGCACATTGATTCTTACCAACTTATATTAGTTTTTGAAATTCAGAGATGTCTGTGATAAAAGCTCATATGAAGAGAATTCTAAACATTGCTTGTCAAAGAGCCCAAGGACCCCTGGTCAAAACTGAATGCAGTTCCCCACTCATCTCCGTCTCCTTGTCCTCACTTCCGTCACCTGCTGCTGAGCCCCACCCCCTCCAGCCTGCACCAGGTCCCCAGACTCTGTAACCTCCCAACCAGCCAGTCTAGTCCAGCTGTGTCGACTTGGCCCTCTGCCCGCTGGGTGCTGTTGGCTTTGGTCTCCTTCTGCCAACTCACCATCCCTTCATTTCCACGTCACCGATTTCCTCCTCTCCTTTGTGTTTCCTTCCCCCTTCCTCCTGGCCAGCTGGATTTTGGAGTCATTGGGTGGAAAGATGGTCCCTTTGAGTAGTTAAGGGTCAGGCCCCCTTTCTGCCAGTCCATTCGGGAAAATCATCCATGGTACTAAGCTCTGGAATGAAACAATAACTACAATAAGTTTCTGGTTAGCTGGGAACTAAAATCTTACTGTGTAGAAATTTGCCCCTCAGACAGATTTCCAAGTAAAGACAGACCCTGTCGCCTTTGGCAAGGGAAGGATTAGCCCCTCCCTAGCACTGCTGTGTGCTCCGATATGACTTGGCACCTCACATGTACCTTGCTGAGTGGCATTACTCTCCCCTTGTGACGAAAGTGAGATGGTGTCCCACAGCCAGCACTGTCCCTACCTGTGCTTTTCCTGCTATCGCTACGGCAGTGTGCTTAGCAAGCCCCGGCCTGCCTTAAGACTGAGGACGCTTCTTCCTCTTCCTGTGTTTCCCTGACTGTAGGAGAGATCACTCATCTTTGAGTCAGCATGGAAGAAGGAGAAGGACATTGTTTCCAGGGAGATAGAGAAGCTCCGCGTGTCCATCCAGACCCTGTGCAAGAGCGCACTGCCCCTGGGGAAGATCATGGACTACATCCAGGAGGACGTGGACGCCATGCAGAATGAGCTGCAGCTGTGGCACAGCGAGAGCAAGCAGCACGCCGAGGCCCTGCAGAAGGAGCAGAGGTGGGAGGGGTAACAGGGAGGGAGGCCTTGCAGGAGCAGAGGTCAAGGTTGGGGGGAACAGGAGGGGGGCCCTGCAGAAAGAGCTGGGTTCGGGGGGTAGTGGGGATGGGGCCCTGCAGAAGGGGAAGAGGTCAGGGTGGGAGGGTAACAGGAAGAGTGGGCCCAGCAGAAGAGGGGATGGGAAGTAACAGGGAGGGTGGGCCCTACAGAGGAAGCAGAGGTCGAGGAGGGGTTAATAAAGAGAGGGACCCTGCACAAGGAGTGATGGGGGTAACGGGGAGGGGGCCCTGCAGAAGGAGAGAGGGGGTAACGGGGAGGGGCCCTGCAGAAGGAGAGAGGGGGTAACGGGGAGGGGCCCTGCAGAAGGAGTTGGGTGGGTAAGGGGGTAATAAGGAGGCAGCTTTGCAGAAAGGACAGAGGTTGGTGGGGTGATGGGTAATGGGAGAGAAGCAGTCTGGGATGCCCATGGGTCTGTCCAGAGTCTGACGGGAATCTACCTAGAATTCACTACCTCTCAACCCTCCCTTCCTTACTTCCGTCACAAGGAGAACTGCTATCTCTTCATTCATACCACAGCAAGCATTTCTTTGTAGCAATCAGAAAAGATTTGGAGTTCACGTTCATACACAAAATAGATTTAGACATTAATAAATCCAGAGAACTTTGCAGTATGGATACCATTTTTTCATGTGTCTTATCATAAGCCCTTATGTTTTGTAAATGTTTATGATTTTTTCAAGTATTTTAATTTTTCACTCTAAAAGAAATACTGGCAAACCTATTTAAAATGTCACTGTAAAAGAAACATAATAGCCACTAAAAAGTGAGGTTTATTTTAGGGCAGTGTTTGATATACCATATTTATATCAATCTGGAATGCATGTAACTATATCAATCATTGTTTTTTTCAGAAAATATGATTTGACTCTATATATCTATAAATGTAATTAAAAGTATATTATAATGAAGTTCTACTCTTTATTATTAGTCTGCTTATTTTTAAAAAGTCCTTTACAATTTAAAATGTACAACATGAAGGAAGTTAGACAATCACCAAGAACCTCTTGGTGCCTATTCCGGCACGATACTTGGTTAGCACTTCTTACATTTCGATTTAAGGTATTAAATAGTACCATCCCAGACACTTCTTCCTTACAAAACCAGATTTGCCTTTATGGTAGGATGGTTGGAAACTATTGCTCTTCCTTGTTTTGTATTTTAGTTTGTATTTAAATGCTTTTAAAAACCTAAAAGGAAAGGTTAATTTTGACTTCAGCTTTCCCATCCATATTCTAGACTTTTCCCAGTATTTACCCAGCAAGTAAAAGGTCTCCTGTCAGTGTCATGAACAAGTGAGCCAGGGGCACCTCAGCGAGGAAGCCCTCCTAGCCCTGCGCGCCTCTCCTGCGAGGTGGTGTCCCCCGGCGAGGAAGGGGCTGCGCCAGGTCCAGGCAGTGGTTCTCTTCGTGTCGATGGGGACTTTGCTGCACACCTTCCTGCTGTCTCCTGAGGCTCTCTGTTACATATGTAATTTAAGGACTCCAAGTCCACCATTGAAGAAATATTAGCTGCTTTTTTTAAAAAATATAAATCTCATGTTTGACTGCATTTTTAGTGGTGGCAGGGCTTGTGAAAATAAGGAATAAATTTTTCCCAGGTGTGAGTGTTTTGTCTCTTTAATATCATCACTGTATGTTTATATTTTACCCTTTTTCTTTGGATGAAATGAATACTTTACTTTGTCTTCGGTGTTTTAATTGCGAAGCGAACGTAAGGTGAGCCGAGATGTTGATGAGCTGCTGGTTTTGTTCTCCGCAGCATCACAAACTGTGCCGTGGAGCCCCTGAAGGCTGAGCTGGCTGAGCTGGAGCAGCTGATCAAAGACCAGCAAGACAAGATCTGCGCTGTGAAGGCCAATATCCTAAAGAATGAAGAAAAAATCCAGAAAATGGTGTATAGTATCAACTTGACTTCAAGAAGGTGAACACTCAGAAGTTTCAGAGATGAAAAGTCACCATCAGTTTAAAAAGGAAGACAGAAAATCATCACTCTTCTAAGTTCCAGTTTGCTAAGATAATGAACAGTTTACAATGTTAATATCCAGCTAATTTTCAGAGCTTTCAAACTTTGAGCACATTAATGTGTAAAAGGACCATGTTTTTTTACTTCCTTCCAGCTGGAATATTTGCTAGTTATAAATAACTCTTCCCAACGCTTTTGTGAGTTTTTTTGCAAGCTTGTTCTTTGTGTTCTGCTGCAGCCTGTTAAGTTCTGCACCAGAATTCTCTAGCAGGTAAGCAGTGTCGGCATTCCAGGGAACAGTGGTCCTTTATTCCAGTTCAGTGAAAGGACTTCCAGAGGTCAACACTGAATGAAGGATGACTGTACACTTTTTCATGGGGACTTTGTAAATAGAATGAGGCCTGAAATGAATAAATTATATTTTTAGTTAATTTCCATTTGAGAAGGGTTAATTTCAGCCTATATCCTTATAAGTTACGGATCAACTGGTTTTTAAAAATTTTTTTTTTAACCTCTTTGTAATTATATATACTTCTTTATGTAATTTTCTTGTTGGTTCCTATTATCTTTCGTTTGTGTTTCTAGCCCTTAAAGATCATAAATTTTAAAAGGAGATTTTAGTATGGTCTTTATGGACATTGCCTGGACATGAAATTGTCATAGGCTGCATCCTTATTTCCTTCAACATTTTTCCCTGGGTTTTCCTCACATAGACGCTAGTGCAGTCCCTCTCTCTTGAAGAAGAGGGTATTGCTCTATGAGGCATTGACACCATGCCTTTGTCTTTGCATAGGTGTATGTGCCTACACACCTGAGAGACGGGTAGCTTAGGAAAAACCGCATGAAGAAAGACTTAAAGGATGCACCAATTTACAAAATTTTTTTGATGTCAGCCATTTTTCTCGAAATTGTTTTTTTAAGGCAAAAGTTTTTTTACAAACATGGTTTATGGTTAGTTCTTCACTTACATATACTGTTGTAAATAGTAAAGTTTTAAGTTATTGTATAAAGGATTTCACTGTGTTTGGAGACATACTTATGGGTCTTAAGGTCTGGGTCCTAATACTTTTATTTCTAGATATTGTGTTTATTATGTAAATTAAGGAGTGCCATTTAAAGTGTGAGAATTGCCTGAGGTAGTTTTGTTTCTTTATGGATTAGCACAAATGGCACAGTTTGGTTTTTCTTAATGAAATTTCCAAAATAAATTTTTTACTGAGGTAGTTATATGATTTTCTAAGCTAAATAAGCTCAGGAGCAGGTTATTAAGATTTGCCATTCTGAAACATTGATCTTTTTCTCCTTTCTGTAGTACATTATAAAATTCTATTTGATCAGATCATACTAAATACATTTTGGAGACTCTGGTTTCTCTTCAGATCATATAAATCTTTCACATTTTTGTAAATACATTTTGGGGAAAGGGGAGGGGTATTAGTTAACTAGTCCTTCATATATTTATAATCTCTTTTCTACTGAATCGAATGACTTAGCCATAACCCTAAATGGACCCTATTTTGCTTCAAGTTATGTTGTCTGCCTTTTATGAATTTGTATATGTGAATAGAATTTTTGAGTTACAAAAAATTACATACACTGTATGTGAGTAAAATTTTGTATGAAGTAGTCTATCAAATTGTATCATAAAATTTATTTTTCTTTTATACATAAATCATTAAAAATAATCACATATTTTTTCTATAAGTATATGGATTGTGCAATTCAATTCACACATGTAAAAAACATAAGCATTTGGATTTTTCATTTTCAAATGTGTGCATTTTCTTTTTCTTGTGAAGAA